TTATATCTAAAAATATAAATTTATTATAAATAAATAATTTTAATTAATATTTTATATATTTTTAGATAAAAATTAAAAAAACCTATAATCCTATTATAGCCTAACACAATATAATACGGCCAACCAAGACTAAAATTATATCTAAAATTATTGTGAAATGTTATAACAGTAGGTTTTTTAATATTTTATTATAGGCAAAATAATAATATTATTTGATAATTATTTTTAAAAAAATTATATATTGCACTTGGGCCTTCGAATCTAGTGGTGTTAGGCCGCGTATAAGTGCATTCTTCACCCTAGGATAACGGTTCGAATCCGGTCCCTTGTGAATTTATTTAAAAAAAATTATATATTAATATGACTATAAAATTATATAATCCAAAATATAAATTAAAATTAATTTAACATTATAAACTAATATTTTTATAAATATCATTTGCGTGTAGTATCTGTGGATTACAGGATATTTATAGGGTGAGTTTTAAAAGTCTCTGGCCTTAAATATCATTTGCATTCTTATAACTGGGCCAGAGACTTTTAAGGCCTAAAACTAAATTCGTAAAAAGAAAAGAGCCCAGATGAAGCCCAGCACTTCGACCCGACCCTTGTAACCATGTTGGTGTTACCATTTCCATGTCGTGTGTCGGAGCCTCTTCTTCTTTCTCCTTCTCCATTCCCGGAACTGAAGGAGCACAAGCCATGTCTAAACTCGCCCACAATCTATTTTCTTGCTTCGCCAGAACATTCAGTTCATGGGCTCTGGCCATCAAAAATGCTTCCTCTCCCCGTAAAGCTCTACACCTTTACTCTCAGATGCACCGCCGATCAATTCCCTATGATACCTTCTCCATACTCTTCACCCTTAAATGTTGCACCTCTTTACACAACCTCAACATCATTCGCCATCTTCACTCCCATATATTCAAAATAGGCTTTGCTACCCACGTTTACGTCGCCACCTCTTTGCTCCATGGCTATGTGGTTGTTTCGTTGGATGATGCATGTAGGTTGTTCGACGAAATGCCTGAGAAGAACAGTGTTACCTGGAATACCATGTTAAGTGGGTTTGCTAAGTCTGGGGATATAAATAGTGCCCGTCAGGTTTTTGATGCTATTCCTTTGAGGAATGTTGATTCATGGTCTGCCATGATTGCAGGCTATGTGAGTAATGGAAAATACGATTCTGGGTTGGCTTGTTTCCGAGATATGATGTCAGATGAGGGGTCAAAACCTGATCAAATTACCTTGGGATCTGTCCTGTCGGGTTGTGCTCAGATGGGTTCTCTTGGATTGTTGATGGGCAGATCAGTGCATGGGTTTGTGGTAAAAAATGGGTGGGAGTTGAATGTAGAAATTGGTACAGTTTTGGTTGATATGTATTCCAGGTGTGGTTTTCTCAAGTGTGCTTGTAGGGTTTTTGATTTGATGCCTGCAAGGAATGTAATCACTTGGACTGCCTTGATATGTGGCTCCGCACAACATGGCTATAGCAAAGAAGCATTGTCTATGTTTGAGTTGATGCAAGAAATGGGAGTGAGACCTAATGAGTTTGCTTTTACTGGGGTTCTTAGTGCATGTGCTCGTACAGGACTGGTTGAAGAAGGGCGCAAATATTTTAAGATGATTGAACATTACGGCTTGAAGCCAAGGATTCAACACTATGGCTGCATGGTTGATTTGTTTGGTAAGGCAGGGCTACTGGATGAAGCTTACCAGGTTATTAGGACAATGGAACTTGAACCCAATGTTGTTATCTGGGGTTCATTCTTGTCAGCTTGCAAGGAGCATAAAAATTTTGAAATGGCTGGGAGAGTAATAGAGCAAGTGTTGAGAACAATAAAGCCAGATAAAGATGGAGGAGTTTTCTCTCTAATATCTGATTTATACGTTTTAAATGAGAAGTGGGATGATGCGGGATGGATTAGGAAGTTAATGGTCAATCAAAGTGTGAGGAAGGCCAGAGGTTCTAGTTTTATTGATTATAAGAAGTAATCAATCCATGCTAGGATTTTATTTATTGGATTTTTATCCGCAGTCTAGATGGTGCGTCCTCCTTTTAACAAGCACTAATTCTACATTGTAACAGTATTAGATTCTTTGGTTTCTTTGGATTCTTAGCATTCTTTTTGTGAAGTGATAGACAGCCAAGTGGAATAAGGATTTAGATAGTTCTCGTGTTGTCTCTCTAGTCTGTACTGAAAAGCTCCAGATGCTATATTTTGAGAAAGGGATATATCATATATTCACCTACTAACTTGAACAGGGAAAGGTGGAAAAAGCATAGGTCAAAATTACCTGTAGCAGTTGATGTGAGCGGGAAACGCTGGTGTGCTTACTTCCAGACTCTAGATTATGGTTTTTATCTGTTGGTTTTATGGGCCATTTATCACTTCTATGGTCTAATTACATATTGGGCTTTTAGCATGGGCTAAGAAAAGCGCAGTCAGGGTAGCCTACTTGCCCACTCCCTCCTGCTACTTTCTTCCGTCCCAGAAGCTTATCTCTTCAAAATCTCTGCTTGGTGGAAATGAGCTCCTTGGCGTTTTCAGTTGGGAATTTCTCTCCTAGGAAGCTAAACACTCTTGTGATAAAGAATGTCAATACAACAGGAGTATCCTTTATTGAATTTTCAAGCAACCACAAGGAGAGCTGGTCTCTTCCACAACTGCAGCTAAATGAGAAGCCAACTTTGCTCAGGAGAAGAGAAGCGGTTGGTCTTAGTTTCTGTTTCGGCTTTCTTGATGTTCTCTTGCAGCAACAAAGTGCTGCAGCTATTGAAGCAGCTCCTTGTCAACTAACTGTAGCTCCTTCTGGTCTTGCTTTCTGCGACAAAGTTGTAGGGACTGGCCCTGAGGCTACCAAAGGACAGCTGATAAAGGTAATGATAAGTATTCTGTTGTCATCTTGCATCATGGTAAGATTTTACTACTTAACATCGATTTTGGTTACCACTGTAGATTCAACAAAAATACATATCCTCATTGAAGATATTTGTTTGATTGCTTAGAAGTACTGACATGTGTTCCTTAAGACTTAAAATTCAGTGGTATT